AGAAAATATAAGAAAGAAATGCTCATTGACTGCATATGAAAGGCAACATTTTACCAAACTTGATGCTTTGCATACATACTTGTAGACATAGTGATGCATACTCATTTGATATGTCTACGAGACTGTGAAATATTCCAGAAAATGGATTAAAAGTATAAATCAGAGCATAAAATCGAATCAGTGAATCTTGCAAGGGTAATTGCACTGTAATGGAGTGACACAAGCACACAGGCTTTCAACACTGATTACCATAAAATTTGATTAAATTTCAAAGGCCACTATTTGAAATGGAAGATTGTTTTGTATTCATCTTGGTTTTGATCAATTATATCTCCTGTCATAGAATGATTAAGATTAAAACATAGTAATTATGACGTGGATTAATGATGAAACGAAGAGCTTGATTCCAAAAGGAGCTAAATCCATATTTTATCAAAAATTGAGTTATCTGTCTTGAAATAATGATTTCCTACATGGGGACAAAATGCACTATATCCAATTCTAAAATTTCACCAGGAAGTATGAAAAAAACATTAGGTTCAATATCATGTTTCATTCCAAAAGGAACTAAGTCCAAATCGGTTCCATTCCAAAAGGAGCTAAATTCACTTTGGGTACTTCTGAGTAAATCACCTTATTTTTTATATCTTCACTTTCCCTTTAGCCATGTACCTTCATGTTGTTATATATGTTAAAGGTTTTGCCCCGGACCAATAATATATGAAAAGAAAAAAATCTACTAGTTATTTCTGATTTTTATTAAATTTTTAGAATTTGTGGATATAGATCCTTTTGGAATGAAACTGTGATATGTTGTTTACTTTCTTTTCAAAAGGTTTTTTTATTTGTGATTTCACTATCATTATTTAAAAGGAAAGGTTTGCTACTAAATTTGAATAAATTTCAGTGATTTGATTGAGAAAATATGAAATTTTTCAGGTATAATATCATGTTTCATTCCAAAAGAAGCTAAATCCACCAAAAAAATAAATCTAAAAATTAAATCAAAATCAGGAAAAACTGGTAGATTTTTTCTTATCATATATTATTGGTCCAGAGTGACACCTTTAACATATACAACAATATTAAGGTACATGGCTAAAGGGAAAGTGGAGAAATAAAAAAAAAATGCGATTTACTCAAAAGTACCCAAAGTGGATTTAGCTCCTTTTGGAATGAAACTCTTCAAATATAGCCCACTGTTTCAACTAGTGGCTACTGGGTTGTTTTCCAACACTGTTTATTTATGATAATCAAGTTCAAATTTTAAAAACATGGTTTCATTTGTCCCTCTATGACAATGGAACTGTCCTTGTGTCTTGGTAGGGCCTATATCTGGCATATCTTGGCACCCCCCCCCCCCCTCCCCTCCTCGTCCACCACGCCACTTCCCCATTAACTCTCCTTGAATCAATAAATAAAACTTTTCAACTTTGACTAATTTACAACAGTTCCTCTCGAATAATATATCCGTCACTGAGAAGGGCAAAACTCAAAAAATTAAACCTTCAAGTTGATTTTCACTCTGAATGGTAAACATACAAGAAAAACAAAAAGTAAAACACCTCTTAACTTTAATACTTATACCTTCTTTTGGATTTAGAATTTCCGAGACATTTTTCAACATGATTTGATTATGAATTGTCAGTTCATATATTTTCATATATTGAACGTTGAATCATGCAATATTTGTACAATATTGATCTAGACAAAGCAGACAACAATAAACATGCATTGAGTTGCTCAAAAACCATCCAAAACCTGTAATTCACAAGGAGGTACTTTGGGAAAGGTTGGTCTGTCATTCTTGTCCATTATGAAGGCTTCTGGGAATGAAACAAGAACGACAAAGGTCCCGAGATCAGAGTCATCATCATCATCATCCTCAAAGCCCAGATCACTGAAAGAAAGAAATGCAAAACAAACATATAGAGGTTTTGAGGTCAAGTGGTTTGATCACTCTTCTTGGAAAGCAAAGGTCGTGGATTCCAGCCCAAGTACAGGTGAGTGTTTCACAAAGACTAAGATTGACTTCAAGTTGGACTTAATTATGGCAGTCTACTGGTTCCTGTCACCTTTGGTCTCTCAATTATGATCTTTACATAATATTTATTCCTTCAATAATGAACTATCAAAAAATGTAAATTCTGTAGAGATGTGACCATGATTTGTACGTTCCTTGAGAGACCAATGCCATTAGATGGTGAGAGAAAACAGTGGCATGAACAGCCTGCCATAGATAAGTCCAACTTAAAGTCAATCTTAGTCTTTGTAAAAACACCCCAGGACTTTTGTAACAAATATCTGTTACTACAACACATTTTGAGGCTGCACTGAAAGGGCAACCGTTTTGTAATTTTTCATTTTGTTTTTGTTTTTAATGACACATTTATGCAAACTGTTGGTTGAATCTGTGGTAAAATAAATGGGGAAGTCCAATGTATTCTTCCTATGTGTTATCAATCACATGAGACATCATTGTAGGCCTACAAATAATGATAATATTATGTTTATAGCCCAACTAGAGAGTGGATCAGACTAATTTCCAAAAAAAATGAAGCACCTGATTTTAATAATGTTCATTACTTCATTATACTCGCTGATCTGATGTATGGGAACACAAAATGAAAAAAAAACAAAGACGTGCCCAAATAGATCAATATCCAGGTAAATCTTGCCTGTCATGGTTGATGTGGCCTTTCTCTTGCTGCTCTGTCCACGCTGTTTCTCTGAGACAACGAAGCATGTAAGGATCATCTTCGATGGATGGTTGAACGGCGATCTGACTCCAAGGTGTTTCCGATTGGTCTTTTATCTCACACTCCCATCGGGATTCTAAAAAATAAAAATGAATATTTCTTCCTGGTATACAAACTAAATGCCTGTAATTTTGATAGCAATATAACCTTTTAGTTTTATGCATTCCCCTTACTCGAAGCATTTTTATAAGAAGTTTTCAGTACAACTCAAAATCAATAATAACCACAATTTGATTTGCCATTAATTACTGTTATATTTTTCTGACCAACAAGAATACATAAAACACTATGATTATGTACACGATTGTTTCATGTTCTGAACTACTATTCAATAATAGACTTTAAAAAATGTCAACAAACCATCACACGTATCATTTCACATAGACTGACATCAAAATAGAGAATGAAGGGATAAAGGGGAGTGTTCAATGACCCTTTCCAAATGAAAACATAACTTGCTTTGAACTCTTTCTAGCAGCTCCTGATTATTTTCAAACTGTTAGTGTTATCATCTGGACTTACTTTCACTTTCCTCTTCTCATTTTTGGTGTTCTTTCTTGTCTCCTTTTTCGTCCCTTCTCTCGTTTCTTTCTTGGCCTCATTCTTGGTATTCATTTCCATCCCTTCTTTGGTTCTCTTCATGGTGTCCTTTTTGGTCTTCTTCTTCGTTTCTTTTTGTGTCCCTTCTTTTCGTGCCTTGCTGATCTCCTTTTTGATGTCCTTTTTTGCCTCCTTTGGGTGCTTCTTTTTGGTCTCTTTTTTCGTTCTTTCTGTTGTTCCCTCTCTGGTTTCCCTTTTCCTTTTCTCTTTTGTCTCTGTCTGCCCTTCTTTTTGCATTGCCTTCTTTTTCCCCTTAATAGTCTCCTCTTTCTTCTTTTTAATAACCTCTTTTGTTATCTCCTTCGGTATATCCGTTTTCACCCTAATTTTTTTATTCCTCGACGTCTCCTCTCTCAGCCGTTTTTTCGTTTCTTTTTCAATAAAATGCACAGCCTCCTTTTCTGTCTTCGTTGCTTCATTTGTTGTCTCCTTTTGCATCATCATTTTTTGCCCCTTCTTCTTATCCACTTTTGTCTTCTTTTTCGTTGGCTTTTCCAACACCTTTTTCTTATCAGTTTTTGTTTTCTTGTTCCTTGTTTCTTTGGTCTCAGTTTCTTGCTCACTTTTTGGCTCCTTCCTATCAGTTTTTGTCTTCTTTTTTGTTGGTTTCTTGGCATCCTTTGCAGCTTCCTTTCTCATTTCATTTTCTATCTCACTTTCCGGCACATTCCTTTTATCAGTTTGAGTCTTCTTTTTCGTTGGCTTTTTGGTCTCTTTTTCTGTCTCACCTTTTGGCTCCTTCTTTTCCCTTTTTGTTTGCTTCTTTGCCTCCATTTTCGTCCTTTTCTTCATGGTCTTTTTCAGTTCCTTCTCTGTCTCAATTTTCCCCTCCATATTCATCTCCGTTCCCTCTTTCCTTGCCTCTTTTGTCTCCACTTTTGTGTCTTTCTGCTTTTTCATCTCTTTCATTGTGCCACTTTTCTTTTTCCTCTTTGGAGCTTCTACATTTGGTAAACACACAGATACAAAAAGAGAAAAGAAAGGTAAGTTAGTGTTGCATACAATATAGAATTTAAAAAAAACTACAAGTGATTCATTGTAGAAAGTTCCTAAACCAGGAAACATAAGATACGTTTTATTTAATAAACTTTCATCATGAACATACATTGTTTAGCTCTAGCTATCCAAATTAAAAAGAGTCAGTATTAATCTTCCTGCTAATAAAAAAAAATATCCACAACATTATGTTAGAGTTGGTGCTTGTCCTCTCTTGACACACAAATTGAGTTCTCATAGTGGTATTACTACAAGGGGAGGGGGATGGCAAATTCCCCCTCCCAATCAATGGCATAAAAGGACCCCTCCCCCCAATCAATGGCATAAAAGGACCACCCCCAAAAAAAAACAAAAAACAAAAAACAAAACAAACAAACAAAAAAAATGAGAGAAAGAGAGGAAAGAGAAAGAGAGGAAAGAGGAAGAGAGAGAGGGAAGAGAAAGTGAAGAGATGATATGACAGCCCTCGCCCCCTCTCATGTTTTATCGGGTTTCATCCATCTAATCCCCCAACCCCTACATAAGGGAGGATTCATGCTATGCTATGCTAGTCTACTTCTTGCATTTTGATGCAGAGCTTTAAGTCTTCACAGAAAATTGGGACTTTTACCCACTATCCAAAATGATAAGTTGCACTTTTGTATACTAACCATTTTTCTTTCCATCTGCTCCTGTAACTGTCAACACTTTCTTTCTCTTTTTCTTCTTTTCCTTCTTAGCAGCATCTATAGGTGGTGAACAAAACAAGGGGGAAAACACTTAAGTATTGCATACAAGGATGGAAAATATAACATGTCAATTATTATGTTTGAGTCCGAAATAATGAAAATTACAGACAGAAGTTCCAGTTTAAATTGTATGTTTAATATAGTGGCTCCAATCTAGAATCAGGGGACTACGCCCTCAGTAGGCATGAGATTTACAGTTTGGATTGCAAACACATTAATGATAAAAAAACAAATTATTGGTTACTAATATTTAACCTAAACTATAATTATGCAAAAGAAAAATTGAAATTGCATTGAGAGTTGCACTCGTCCCAATGGCAAAGCTATTCAATGTACTTCTTTCACATCTGTAAAAAATGTGAAAAAAAAATGTGAGATAAATTTGTTGGATTACCTTTTCTGTTTTCCTTTGGGATTTTCTTTGGTTTGGTGATGTGTTCATCCTTGAGCACCATTCCCTGCACTTCCACTGACAAAGTGTCGTTGAGGTATCTCAATGACAGGCTTCTGCCGTCTATGATGGCTGGACAACCCTCCAGGTCCTTCAGAATGCACGGGGCGGTATCCTCATGGCAATACATTACAAACAACTTCTCTTCCTTTTCTATCTCTGCCCAGGCTGATAGTAAATCCTGGGATGTTGTCTTTGTGTGTGATTGGGGAAGATGGGTGTGGTCCGCAGGAGTCGAGTGCTGGAATGGTGTGCAGATGTCATCCTGTTGTCCATCCATTTCAACATCAATAGGCATTGATTCACCAAAGTTGTATCTTGTCGAAGCCATAGCATGATCCCGACCTGCCAGTGGTGCACATTTTGGTGAAGTGGCCTGACCTTCCATTTCCTGAATGCTATCTGGTATTCTATAATGGGTCTTTTGGTCAATAACCATTACATCATCATGTTCTGAAACATTCTGTAACTGCAATGTCGCTCCTGTACTTGTGACAGGCTCACCTTCAGATACTCTATTCACTGCCACATCCAAGGTCTTTGCACCTTTTCTGAAATCCTTAGGAGAATATCCTTTCTTACTCTCAAAGAAGCTACTTATTTCTTTCTCCAGCAACGTCTTGTTTGCCTCATCAACAGTACTGTCGCTGATGTCATCAGACTTGGGATCGATGATATCTCCGGCAAAAGCACGTCTTTGGATGATGGGTGGGCTTGAGCTCCTGGAGTCTGTCTGTTCATCCTGGAAGCTAAGAATTCTGGTAACTGTGTCCATATCCACCACTGCTTCGTCGGTACATTCTGGACTCGGGTTGAACCATCTCTCGTACATTTCATCCAATTTTTCAAAGTCCAAATCTGCTTGGGTACATTCTTGACCCCTGCTTGTCACCACAGCTTGAGGACACTTCTGACTGGGGTTGAACCTGCTCTCATACATTTCATCTAATTTCTTAAAGTTCAAATCTGGCGTTTTCCCTTTTTTTTCCTTAACAGCGAAACCAGGTGCATGTGTGATATCTTCTTCCTTTTCCTTTGGCCTAGGTGCTACTGCTTTATCTTGCACCCTCAGCTCTGGTTCTGGTACACTGTGCCATCCCTTCAGAGAGGTCACATTATCTGACCGTTTCGTTTCGTCTACAGCTGTTTTCACCAACTCTTTTATTTTCTGGGAAGGGCTCTTGATAGTGTGGAGTGGGTTTTGTCCAACCTTTTCACCTGTCTTCTTCGTTCTTATATGACTAAGATAAATGGCCTGTTGGAGCTTCTTCTTGTCCAGCTTTTTCAAACTTTGGCATCGATGAATTTCATCCAAACCTCTCATGGATCTAGACAGTAACCTTTGTCCAGGTGACACACTGTTCCTTTGCTTCTGAATTCTTGGCGATCTAGCAGAAGCAGAAATTTTCTTACAAGATGAAATTATCTTTTGTTTTGTGACTTCACACTTGTGAAAACTGTCATTACTCCTGCGATAATCATCATCATCATGTTCCAGCTGTTGGGTAGAATCTTTAGTCTTATCCACTATGCCAGCCAAGAAGACATCTACTTCCACCCCTGGTGAACTGCTTGATCCGGAGAAATCAGAATCATTTACAGTTAATGAAGTATTAGGTGGTTGGGACTGATCATCAACCTTTTCATTTTCCTTCTTTCTTATCTGACTACAATCAATGAACTCCTGTAGCTTCTTCATATCTACGGTTGTCATGGATACTGTACGACGTCTATGGATTTCATCCAAGCCATTTGTAGTTCTGGACAGTGATCTTTTTCCAGGTGACACAAAAGGCATGCAGCTCCGTCGCTTCTGAACTCTAGGTGATCTTGATGCAACAGAAATTGTTTTACAAGAGTTCTTTCTTTTCTTTACCTCACTTTTAAGATACATTTCATCAATCCTTTGAAGAAAATCAACCGGTTCTTGACTTCGTGATGAATTTGTCAAATGGTCAGAAACATCATGGTCACTTGTCATAAATGAGACCTCACATTCATGTGGTTGGGTATCAAGATCAACATTTTTATTTCTCTTCTTCTTTCTTACCCTACTCTCGATGGCCTCACATAACTTCTTCATATCCATAGTTGTCATGGATACTGCACGACGTCGATATATGCCGTCTAATCCATGCATGCTTCTGGACAATGACCTTTGCCCAGGCGATACAAAAGACATGCTTCTTCGTCCCTTCTGAACTCTAGGTGATCTTGATGCTACCATTTTACTGGCTGAAGATGTCTTTCTTTTGAGCACTGCAGGTTGAAGGTTTATCTCATCATCAGTCACTTTGGGATGGTCATGCTGTTCTTGATTTTTTGAAGAATCTGCCAAGAATTCATTTGTTTCTATTCCTGGAGATTTGCTTGATGATAGACCAGAGACATCACGGTCACTTGTAGTAAATGACGCATCAGGCTCATAGGGTTGGGTATCGATATCAACCTTTCCACATTTCTTCTGTTGTCCTATCCGACTCTCGATAGCCTCGCTTAGCTTCTTCATATCCACGATTGTCATAGACACTGTACGACGTCGATGGATTCCATCCAAACCATGCCTGTTTCTGGAGAGTGACCTTTTTCCAGGTGACACAAATGGCATGCTCTTCCGTTGCTTCTGAATTCTAGGTGATGCTACAGAAATTCCTTTGACAGGTGAAGATTTCTTTTTCTTGATCACTGTAGATGTATGGTATATCTCATCATTTCCTTGGGGAATATCATCATTTTGATTGTTGGCTGAATCTTGCTTCTTCTTACTTGACACCACACTGGCCAAGAAAGCATCTGCTTCCATCCCTGAAGACTTCCTTGGTGATGAATCAGAAACATGGTCACTCGTAGGTGACGACACCAACGATTCTTTGGGTTGGGTGTGTAGCTTGTGGGGACCTTCCTTTGTCCCAGACATCACCAGCTGTTTCCTCCTGACTGTCCGCTTTGACACCGGTCTACTCAGAGGAGACATGAGACAGATCAAAGGGCTCTTCATCCTTCCTGTCTCATCAAATCCATCTATTCTGGTGCAGAATTGCAGGAGACCATAAAATCTGTAAGGAATAAAAGCAGGGAAAAGATTATTATGATGATCAAAAAGATTCTTAATACAACAACATAGAAAAATTTAACATTAAGATACATTTGTTTAATGTAAATGTGTTGTTTCCACCAGTTTTCCACTGAATATTGATCTCAAGGAAATAGTCATTGCCCTTTCTGTATCAAATTACTCTATTCAGGGATCATGTGAATTAAACAGAAAACAAAATTTGAGAAAAACAAATAATTAGCAATGCAATTATTTTCATTTATAAACCAAATCAGGATATATAAAAGATAATTGTGTCAGGGTGCTAATGCAAAATCCAATTGAAATTATTTAGATGGATCTAATTTTTGGTCAAATGTTTTCTTCATTGCAAAGGTAAGAACAAACTGTCCATAACTTTCTCTGGCTGAAATATTAGGAAAATGCATTTTTTTTAAATTCTTTATCTTCAAAAGTGCTATGGCAAGAACCTAAAGGAAATCAGTCTAGTCAATGCTCATTAGGATTTATAGCTAGGGCGTATGTCTGTGACAATCATGTTTAGTCTGAGAGAGCAGGTACTTTAAAATCAATGTCCAGGAAGCAACAAAAACATGCCAGAAAACATTTTTGCTACTACCCCCCCCCCCCCGCGCCCCCCCCCCCTTATGTGATGATATTGTCCATGAAGCTGTTCTTAACTGATAACTTTGATTTATTCCTTTCAAATTCATTATATTGGGGCCCAGTAATAAAATATACAACACCCTTTATATTGGGGTGCTCTAGCTGGGGCACCCCCCCCCCCCCTGTTAAACAAAATGCATGGTCTAGCTAGTTTGGTTTATATACCTTGAATACATACATAATTATATACCTTGTTTTCCCCTTGCTCCCCCCTCCCCATCTCCTACTTGAGAACCTCCTTTGTATGTACCCCCAGGCTAATTAGGCTCAATTTTAACACTCTTCTAAAAACTAAATGTGAGAATTGAATAATATTGCTGATGCCCCCACAATCTGACAACCATTTTTCTTTATTTTCAAATTTCTTTTTGTTTTGTTTTGTTTCATTTGTTTTTTTGCTTGGGGGCTTGGGCGCACTGCGTAATGCACCCCGTCCCGAGCAATGACCTCTATCAGTGGTCACGAGTCATGGATACGCTACCGCGCGCGCTCTGTGAAGAATTTCTACCAGTACCAGTAAGGTGTGGCCCATGCGCATTTCCGTTAGCGCTCGAGTCGAATCACTCGCGGCCTTGTCCCCGGCGGCAGGGCCGCATTACATCCGGACCGCACTCGATCGCGCCTCATTACCACCACAACTTCAACATTCACTCCATTCAATATGATCATTGATAATTACAATTTTAGGAATCCCACCAACATTATCCTTTGGAATGTCTGCTCATTACATATGCCTTACCCAAAATGAGTTGACTTACAGTAAATCAGATTTTCAGGCCTTTCGTTGCTCCACCCAGCTCCGACTGGATCCGTGGTTTCATTCCATGCACATACGTCTGCGCATCACGTGCACCTATATGCCCCTCCTTCCTTCTGAAACTGGCGACCAAAATCAAAAGCGAAGCTTTTCTTTCATTCATGGTAGTGTAAGAGTAAAAATTAGACTCCTTCCATACTGGAATTTGTTAAAAATACTTTATGTTTCTCTATTCTCTTCTCTATTTATTTCACATCATTTGCTCATTCACTTACATATTCATTGACTTCAATTACTCTCAACCCAATTCCTTCCTCCATTTATCTCCTAGTACATACCAAGTCTGATCACCTGGTATGTTCCTTTGTTTTCTCCTTATTCTTTATTCACGGTCTTGTGTGTATGAATTAGGCTTTTCTACTTTTCTACTTTTCTTTTGAATATTCAGTTTTACTATTGTTTTGTGATGTATTCATCATCTGAATATACTTTGCTTAAAAATGTTCAGTATGATGCTGGCGAGCATAGCAGCCTACAATAAAAGCTAGTCAGACCCGCACGCGGCTTTTTCTGAGTCAGTTGTATTAATTTGGGCTCTGCTACTTTAGCAGGAGATTTAGGAGAGAGAATTTATGTAAATTCGGCGGTGGTTTTTTGATAATTAGGGGTTTTAATTTATATTGGAGTCTGAGAGGCTAATTTGTATTACTTTACAACACAGTAGAAATGTAATGTAATATAGGGATGCACCCTAAGTGAAGGACAACAGGGTATAAATTGTCGTTTGGTTCAGTTGTCATATCGCCCAACATCAGTTAGGTCTCTCATCATTTCGATCTTTTATCAAAATTTCCTGCAAGATTGAACCAACTTTGTCCAATCATCAGTTCTGTCCAGTAATCACTGTGTCTAATGACCTATTAGTCCATATATAACCATTTTGTCTAAGAACCATTTGGTCCATATACCAATGAACCGGGGAGATGTGAGTCTTCTTAATTATACAGACTTGACTCAGCGAACCCCGGTTCGAGAATGGGTCACGTCCTTCGGATGGTGACGTTAAATCCCCACTGCACTACTCATATCTACTTGCGCCCTCTGTATAGCAAACAATGCCTTATCGGTGCCTGTTAGTCCCCCATGAACCTCTTTTTCTTATGTTAATTGAGAGCTGATTTGATGAGATAAGCACCTGTCAGTAACCTTGCAGGGAGGTATAATGCCCCTGGCCAAACTAGTACAGACGGGCATTGACGGAGTCAGTCCCCAGACTTAAATGATTATATCTGATTGATACACGTCTGTAAAAAAAAAAAAAAAAAAAAAAGCTACACACATATACACACATTTTGTCATGTCACCATTTTGTTTAATAGCCGGTTTTTTACAATATCCACTTGGTCCGTATCATAACTTAATCTAATTACCAATACGTCTACTTAAAGGTAAAGACCAGTATTGGAAACGCCTCAATTTCAAAAAATGAAATGGAAGCTCTCATTACCAATCATGTCAAAGAATATGTTTTGACTAATACATGATGATAACAAATTTGCCGGGAAACCGCCTCCTAATTCATATATTTGGTAAATTTGTTTCTCTCGTGGTCTGTGAGAGATATAGGGTAGTCCCGTATACATCTTTCTGTGTATAGTGCTTGTAACTTTACGAAGAATGGGCCAAATTTCTTATCATTTTGATGATTCCAGAACCTTGCAGATGCTAGATGCTAGATGATCAACCTTTTCTGATCGATTCCACAACGTTTCTTTCACAATGCAATCGCATGACCATAACTGGTCTTTAGCTTTAACACTTCGCTCATTATATAACCACTGATCAATCTTGTTAATCATTTCTTCCGATGCCTAGTTGGTCTAAAACATCATTTGGTCCAATCTTCAGTTTGTCTAATGGGTCTTTCATTATTTTTTTCTAATATCCATTTGATCTGATAGCCTACTTATTCTATGATTTCAATAGCTATGGAATGATGCAGATTTACAGCCTGTTCATTAAAAAAAAGAGTAGGCAATAGAAAATATTTCAACTGCCACAGTATCATAAATATGCACTTAAAACATGTAAAAGTTCTAAGAAATCCAAGTGGTGGAAAATATCCCCAATAAATGATAATCTTTTTTTCTTTCTTTCCATGTACCGTATTAAGCATCAACAGACCAAGATTAGACGAATTGGACACACTTAGTATTATCTTTAAATGCCGTTGGAATTTAACCTTTTCATTGTTTTGGCATGCAAATGGGACATAGTACCTTTATAAGGACTGTCACGCATGCAGATTACCAGTGGGGTTTCTACTGGTACATTTTGCGGATTCCCCCCTGTTTAACGATTACTGGATACGCCAATAATAACTTTCAGAAATAGTGCATTGCATTCTAGAAACGAAACCAATATCAATTTCAGGTTCATTACACTTTTCCCTTCATCCTCACCTCAAAGAAGTTCATCCCCCATTACTATTAGATGATCGATATAACATTTCTATCCCCTGTACACTGATTGAAGAATATGATTATTGAGCTTTTCCGCGGTATTCATTTCAGAGCGCATCGTCTAATAATTGTTATATCGAACGTTGCCATGGTAACCAGAATGGATTCTCTGGATAACAAATGTATACCTGATGGATTAGTTAACAGAGGGCTACCATCGTCTAATGGGGTTTACCACTGGGGGCGTTTCACAAAACTTGTCATCAGTGACATATGACAGTTTTTGTTATAAGCTACTGAAATCCTTGCTTCTGATTGGTTATCAACTGATTTGTCAATGATTTTTGTCATTTGCCATTGAAATAAGGCTTTGTGAAACGGGTCCCTGATGTCATAGGAAAATGTGGGTCAGAATCATGAATGTAATGCGTGGAAAGCATAATTTAATCAATCTAACCAGAATTTCACATAATCCCGGTATCAAAGACTATGATTAGGTGTACTAGGACCTCAATCAATTCTGATGGAATTCATGTCATACTTCATGTTGAGGTTTTTATGAGAATGCATTTGAACTGAAGCTCGTCCAAGCGAGAGGATACACTTTAGTGGTAGTATCGAGGTTCGGTGATTTGGAAGACACCTATTATGTCGAGGTATGTATTTTTATCTATAAAACAAAATATGTTCATATGGCATACTGAATTTATGTTTTGTTTTACAAAATCATATGATATGCTATCTAGAGTGTCAAATCGTAAATGAATCATTGGAAAGGTATTGTTCGTGGATATTTCCTTATTCTTATTCCAGAGTAATACCATTCCCCCCTATTTTATATAAAATCATAATATTTGGTCTAAACATCACGATATACATATCATGTAAGGATAAGCGCTTTCTCGTTGTCGTTGTCTAGTGGATATGTCACCGGACTGTGGATCAAATGGTTTACGGTTCAAGTTCCACCTCGGCACTAATGTCCTTTGGCAAGGTATTTAATATTTAATCTCTAACTGTGGGGAATTTTTTTCATATTTTAGGTCTTTTGCTAAATAGTTTGTACTAGTTACATGTACTGGCCCATTTTGAGCTCTCTCTGATTGGGAGAACACGGCTAGACCCCCGCTACCTCCCCCTCCCCCTGCCCCACCAACTCACACACTTCACCAAAAACACTAGACAGTCCAAGCTTGTGTTTCAAATGGAATTTGGTAATAATGACATTGATTTAATATACGGGCTAAACAGTACAACGAAGCTTTGACAAATGTAACGGGAAATATAGATTATGTCCTCAAAACAGCCTTTCTTTTTAACGACAATATTTTAATTAGACAATTTTTTAATAGAACTGTCGAATTTATTAGTTTTTAGCATTCAAATCCAATCGATATAGAGGTGCCTCCTGATCAGTATACTATAGTTCAACAATCAAACTTTTTTTTTATTTTGGTATTTGTTTCATGCATGGTCCAGATAAGAGACCTTAAAAAACAAAAGAGAAGATCTCATGTCGAACGATAAACAAATCCTTGATGATGGTGAATAACTTGCATCTCATGCTCGGAAAACTTCTAGTTTTAGCTCTCTTTTGAGTCTTCTTGAAAGAGTTTGTGACCGAGCTAATATCCTGGGTGTGAATTTCTCGTACAAGTTGTGATTTTCCATGACTTTCATTTCTCTCTTTTCATTTCTTTCTTCTTCTTTGTTTCGGCAAAGATAGCATATTCCAATCAAAGTAAAGTCAACAGTTATTGTGACGTCACAGCCGTGCAGTCCCTTTCATTATGACGTTGTATGTGTCGATTAACCACTGTGAAAAGGAATGATAAATTGAAATCATACATTAGAACATGTTATGTAAATGTTAAAACTTGGCACGGTTGCGATCGCAACGGCTTTCAGAAAGTCAACATTAGGTATAGTAGGGAGAAAAGAAAGCATCCAAGTATTGTAGAAATAGGAAAAAAAGTTGCTTCAAAGTAGACAAGAAAAAGAAAAAGAGCGAAATACATTGACAATATACACTATGACAAAATAATGGGGACATTTTAAAGTTTCACACATCAGCATGAAATAGAAACATGGATGAGGAGGGGTTTGCCGGGTTCGCGTTCGTGTGGAGTTGCCCCTCTCTGCCGCTTTAGACTGCCCTCTTCTCTTCTCTTCTTTCTGTTTGTCTGTTTTGTTTGTCTGTTTTGTTTGTCTGTGTGTTTGTTGTTCGTCGGTGGATGGGGGGGGGGAGGAGGGGGTGGGGAGGCTTTGATCTATAATATTCATTCAGTATAATGCATTTGAAGAAATTCAATTGTACTCAATTATATTATGTATTTCTAAGGGCTGACAATTTCTTGACATTTTGATATTTTGTTATGTATGTCAATAGGCCAGTTTCGTAATGTATTCAGAGACCTTTAAATCGCATTACGTAATCGGAGGGTCGGACAAGCAAAGAACTCGCGGTGCGTAGCAGCCTACACTTTGCGTGCATACCGTACCATACATGACTGTGTTCGATACGTGTGATTGTATCGTTTGTTTTCGCTATTTTGAGAGAGAGAAAGAGAAGAAAAAGGAGGCAGTTTCAAACTCGAATAATAAATATCTTTGAGA